CAATACCCACAGATATGTAATGAATGAATGATTTGCTGAAAGAATGAATCGGTGAACTCCCCAAGCTCAACCCGTGCCTCAAGTACTATGAAGCAGCATAAATAGATGTCACTCGGGCAGAATACATAATGGTAATTTGGCTAGTTGGGACTTCTGTAATCACATTCAAAAAGTAAATGACAGTTCTTAGCCCAAGGCTAGGCTCCCAAAAGTTTTCAATGGACACTTGTGTCTTTTCTGCCTTGATCCGAGGCCACACTTGATTTGCAGGCAGTCGATGGCAGCCTCCGCCAATGTACCCTCAAACGCTACATCACTGGAAAGCCATTTGATGCTCAGCTACTGCCAACCCTCATCATTTCTTTCAGGAGGATTCTGCTACGTCATGTACCCCCGGTCTGAATACCATTCTTACTATCATCCTTTCTTCCATCAAAGCCTCTGGTCCTCATTGAACAGATGGATGCAGTTTTATCAGCAGGGAACTGATGAGTACTGTTCTGCTGTCCGCTGACTACATAGGATTTCAGGTGCCCTCACCTGAGCCTCCAGCAGGACTAGTCCAAGTTTCTGGTGTAGATTTTTTTTCCCAACTTTGAAAGTATTAACGAGGATTCTCTACCTCCTAACCCCAGTTCATTCATTCATTCATTCCCATAATAAACTCAAACTCTGCAGAACATCAATTAGCCATAGAGAAGGGGCTGTGCTCTGCACTTACTGGCTCCTTCCCAAGCTAAACACTTATGTAAACTCCACAGGCTATCCGGCCCGCACACCGGCCAGGGCACCCGGCTTTTCCGGAGTTTAGCTTCTGTTTACCCACTGTCAAGTGGGTATTTCCCAGGCAGCCTCTCCTCCTCCCATCGAGACTGGCTGCAACCACCCTACCCCCCACCCAAGCAACCAAATGTGACATCAAAGGAGCCCCCAGAATGGCCATCTGTCCCTGCCACACCAGTATTTATGCAACGAAGACAGAAGTGGGACTTGCCAGAGGAAGGGAGGCTAGAGGCATTGGATCCAAAGCACCAACATCCTAAACCACATATGCCACAGAATGACACAGCTAGAGGCCATCCATCTAGAGCTCTCCAGGTTCTTAAAAGGAATGCAAAGCGATTTAGGTTTCCTGAGGAAATTTTAAAAGACAGCTCAACCCATTTCACCTGTGGACAAACATCTAAAAATAAAGTGAAAACTCTAATTTTATAGTTTTTCCAAATATGAACCCCCACTCCTTCCTATCACACCTAAACATGGTATTTCAGGCAATAGTGACCAATTCAGTACTAAAAAACTGGTCAGCATAGGAAAGGAACAGATCAGAAATGAACCCAGGGGTGCGTGCACTCTAGAGTTAGTGTGACCACAAGACATGGTCATCTAAACCCACTGAAAGTCAGGATGCATGGGAACAGTCATGATTTTAGAAGTCAGATAAAGCACAGTGGTAAGATTTCAGTCCAGTCATGTCAGGGGTTCAGCATCTCTAGAGTCAAGAACATGAACTCATACATACCACAAGTCCAAGTTTCAGTAGGACAGCCAGCCCTCCATGCCTACCGCACACATCCATGCATTCAACCAACCATGCTGTAAACACACATGGGAAAGAAGGTCACATCTATACCACATACTACAGGCAAATTTTCTTGTCATTATTCTCTAAATAAAACCATGCAAAAACTAAATCATGGCATTTACATGGCATTTACATTCTAAATATCAAGAAATGACTTAAAGCATACAGGAGGATGTATATAGGGTCTGTGGGGGCTTGAGCATCTATATTTTGTTATCCAAAGAGATTCTGGAATGAGTCTCCGCACCCACCCCCACCAAGTGACATTTTTTTTAATGTGAGTGTTTCACTTGCAATGCCAGGGAGGCCAGAAGAGGCCTCAGGTCCTCTAGAACTGGAGTTACTGACAGTTGTTAGCTACCGCGTGGGTTCTGGGAACCAAATCTGGGTCCTCTGCAAGAGCAGCCAATACTCTTAAATTGCTAGGCCATTTCTCTAGCCTCAGATGCTTTTTTAAGGAAAATACTTAGCAGAATGTCAGGTACACAGTAGGTGCTCAACAAATGAAACATTTATTTATTTACTTTATTGAGCCAGGGTTTCATTATGTAGACCAGGCTGGCTCTGAACTCACAGAGATCCACTTGTCTCTGCTTGGACTGAAGGCATGTGCCACCCACCCAGTATGCAGTCCGTTCTTTTTGCACCCTAGCTTCCAGGGTGGCTCTCTTTCCACCACCTTATGACAAGGGGCACACCCAGGAGGCAGACTGCTGTGGACTATGGCTAAAACTCCACACACTGACTTCTGAGTGACAACACTGGTACCTTTCAGAGGGGGAATGGAGACAGATACTTGGCAAGTTTCACCTTCCATTTCTATGGAACTTGCTTAACCACAGGCCAAAGCACTTGGAGAGAACGGACATTATTCATCACATAAATCTGCTTCAGCTCCCTCGGGGTAGATGGCTGGGTCGTGTGCTGGAAGCCAAGTGGTGATGAAGTCGAGGGATGATGCATCCATCGTATGATTCAGCTTGAACAGCTGCAGTGTGAAATACACGGGCTCAGACCAGTACAGACTCCTAACTTAGACCTGCCCCTTGTTTCCTTTTAATCTGGCTCTTTTACATCAGTGTTCCCCTGGTTTAAAGGGCCCAGAAATGAACTCGACATTTCTCTGGACAGCTCTGACCAGGTTTTGGGCAACCTCTAAAGAGTCCCTAGAAGCTCACTACGTGGGGCAGGGCACACAGAGTTCTACGGATTTGCAATGCAGTTGTTGGGGAGGAAGGAATGAAAGACAACACTGAGTTCTTAAAAGTGTGGGCTGGGACAGGTAGAATAGAAAGGCTGTAAGGAGCGGGTAGACTTGACCTTGGGGAGAGGAGAGCACTGACAGAGCAGAGAGCTGGGGGAGGACTGTTCCAGTAAGTGTCCTGGCAAGGACGTATCTTGAGATAGGACAGGGAAGGCAGATTCTGCAAGGCTGTCCAGTCACTCATGATGCAAACATGCACTAGCGTTCTGTGCAGTCACTATAATCCATGAAGAGCTAAACTGAAAGAGAAGCGGCAATCCAGCAGTGGAGGAAAGCCTGGGAGCACAATGGTTAGAACAGACTCTGGAGCTAGGAGACCTGGGTTTGTATCTGAGCTCCCCGACTTCCTCACTGTAGATAAGTTACTTAAGCCAGTGATAACTCATGTGTGCCTTAGGCTAGGCCACCAGAGGGAAGGAAGCCATGGAAAGGCCAGGAGGACAGAACAGGTGTAAAGGTACATCCACAATGCCCTGGAGTTCAGGGATTCCTGGGTCAAAGGGGAGACAGCCTTTAAGGGCAGCCCTCCAACAAAGAGAGACTGGGGTGCTAGCACTTGGAGAGAATTTGCAAGAAAGGAAAAGGGACAGAACACAGACAGCATGCACTACCAATGTGTGGTGGCTGTTATTATTTCGACCTCTTAAAAAGAGCACATCACCCAATTAGGATCACACAGTGTGATGTCAACACCGAAGGTGCTTTCTCCACCAGCCGCTGGGCACTCTCACAGGACTGGCACGACTGCCTCTGGAGTCTGGCAGGGAGGGGCAGCAGGCAAGACTGGAGGCACCAGTTGCAGCAGGACCCACAAACAGAGGCTGGAATGCTGGTGGGAAACCTTAGAAGCTGCAGGGGTCGGGCCTGGGGAAGCAGCTGCCATTATGGTTTGTATTTGTTCAAAGTTTGCACCCAGCAGCATCTTATGAAAACCAGCTCAGTATTATAAAATGCATTCACAATGTGTTACTCAGCCTCCCCCTGTGGAGTCTACTGGGACTAGCGGGTGATACCACTGTCTCCACTCACAGAAGGGAAATGAAGAGCTCACAGCCCTTTGTGTTGGACTTCCAAGGAAGAAAGGAAGGTGTCACCAGAGCCTTTCTCTGAGTAACTGAGAACATGCATGTTCAGTCCTAGATACCTTCTGGTAAAGCGCCCCAGGCCTGTCATATAATGCAAGTGTCCAGTCTGACCACAGCAATAAAGCTCCAATGAAATGCTGTACTTTCTCCAAGCCCGTGTTGCAGTTAGATGAATCTCTCTCATTTAACGTGATCCTACAGGAAACAAGCCCAAACAAGCACACAGAGATACTAAGTTTCCCCCTCTACAGCCACACCTGGTGCTCTTCTCCTCTCCTAGTCTGATACAAGCAGGCAAAAGGGAAATCAGGCGCTGGAGAGATGGCTCAGCGGTTAAGAGCACTGGCTGCTCTTGCAGAGGACCCAAGTTTGATTCCCAGGTTCTACATGGCAGCTAACAACCATCCATAACTCCAGTTCCAGGTGATCCGACACCCTCTTATGGCCCTGTGGGCTTTGCACAACAGAGGTGCACTTACATACATGCAGGAAATACACTCATACACATAAAATAATAAAAAGTAAATAAAATGCTTTTTTAAAGAAAAGAGAAATGGGGGACTGGAGAGATGAGATGGTTCAGTGGCTGCTAAGAGCATTGGTTGCTCTTGCAGAGGACCTGGGTTTGACTCCCAGCACCCACATGGTGGCTAACAACCATCTGTAACTCCAGTTCCAGGGGATCCAACACCCTCTTCTGACCTCCACAAGCACTACACCACACAGGTGCACTACCTACATGCAAGCAACACACTCGTACACATAAAATAAAAATAATAAAATATATTTTTTAAAAAAGAAGAAAAGAGAAATCAGAAAGACAGGCAAGCAATGAAACTCTGAAGTCTCCAAGACAGAAATGGCTGCAACACACAAGGCTGGACCCCAAGAATCCCAAGGCTTCACAAGCCTCTGATTGCAGGTGAGCAGAATCATCAGCTTTCTTCCCACCAAGACTGGTCACAAATATCACTTTCCATTGTAAGAAAACAGGCAGATCTGAGATAATAGCAATTCTAAAAAGTCGGATGCTCATCCCCCAGCCTTCCGCAAATGCCACACTTACCCTATGCCGAACAGAAGAGCCTTGGTCAGGATCTCCAAAGGTGCCATTGGAAGGGGCTGCTTGCAACCTGTGTGAGGACTGGAATTCAGAGCATCGTGACCCCAGGAACCGCCAGTCCCCTTTCTGCTTCTCTGCCTCACTTTCAAGTCTAGAAAGGCGGGCTTCAGTCCTCAATGCTTCTACCTGTAAGAGCAGGAAGGAATGGGTTTAGACTCGTTTTGGACATACTCCATCATCTTCAGAAATACTCATGAGGTAGCACAAGAGAAGGTGCCTCACAGATCACAGACACACGGAGCTTTTGTGCTGAGCAATATATGGTACTAGGAAAAGTAACTGGTGTGTTCAGAGTCCAAGGGCCATTGGCAGACTCTTACTCCACTAGAGCTTTTAGGGTTCAGCAGTGACTGTACTCGCCCATCCCATTACCACTTGTAAAAACACCAGGGTGATGAATGATGCTTTACAATCACAAAACCATTACACAAATAAAACTTTCTGGAAGCAGGGCTTGTTTGCAAGCACTCAGAGAGGTGGTCTTGAGAAACATACGAGAGCTACATCTCCTGTTCTTCCCTTTCTCTAGCATCAGCTGAAAGGAAATAGAATCACCAGCATGGCAGACAGGCGGGGCCAAGGATGGCTCATCCATCAGCCTTTCCTCAAGAGAACTCCACGTCTGAAGCTGATTAGCTACAAAACAACACACACCAAGGCAAAGCAGAGAATGACCTTAGCGCCACACGATAGCACAACAGACTGCTCCTCCAGCCGGCCATCTCTTCCCATCCCCAGATCAGCCTCTTGGAATTCCAAATGCATAAACCAATATGAACAAATTGTGCCATATGCTCCCCAGGACCTCATCAGTTGACAAACCCTCAGAAGATCAAATGGCTTGGTATTGGGGTGAGACTTCGATATTTCTTTGTGAAAGAATATTAATGAGGCGACCTCCTCTGCCTCGAACTTTTGTTTTCCCACCTCAACTGCAACACAAGCATAGTTCAAATGGGGTGACGCTTTCCTAGTCTCTGCCAAGTATGGGGCTTTGAAATCTTGTCATTTCTGTCCAAAATGAAATGAAAGAGGGCTAGGGAGGGGAGGGAGGGAAGGAGAGAGGGAAGAGAATGGGGGGGAGCCCTCAAGGAGATAAGATGAATGAACTAAATCATCATCCCAAGAAGGTAAGATAAAAATTGGAAGGGAGAAATATACAGTCATTTTGTGACAGATTAACTAGGAAATTAAGATTAAAATTGTGGAAATTTAAAAAGTAACCCTACTGACCCCACTTACTCATAATGAAGAGGGGAGGGGAGAGTGTGATTTCCTGTATTTCTAATAGCTTTTCACCATTTTGATAGGCAGGCAGGGAGCAAAGCCGTGAGGTGGGAGGTATGCCAGGAACAGGTAGGAGATAGGAAAACACTAGGTGAGCTACCATTTACCAAGTGCCAAATCACATGTGAAAGGTTTCCCACCTAGATATTCACAGTGAAATCTCACCACCACAATTAGTATTCCTATTTTCATTTCGCCACTGGAATCATGGAGGTTCGGAGAGGCTAAGCATTATCCCAAGACCACACAGCTGAAGCGGCCTTCCTGACTCTTGTTTTCTTGATCCTATGCTGCCACAGACTCAGAAAGTTGTTCTAAACTTTAAAATACTCAGGCTCATGCATTAAATATGAACCGAAATGCAATGTTCTTCCCAAGTCATTATAACAAATTTGCTCAACTCTTACACAGGATAAATGTGTATTGTCAAGAGGGCTGAATGCTCCTACACTTCACATTAAATTACCACTCAGCCTCACCTCACTCATTGTCTGGCTAGATGTCTCCAAAACAATTTCACAGCATTCGCCCTAGTGAATACACAAAGCCCACCTTGGAACAATTTGGTCCAATGTGTATAATGCTCACAAACAGAAGGTATGCTTTAATAAACTGAAAAACAAAATCTACATCAAAGACACCAGGATAAGCACATGATGTTTCCTCCTTCTAGCTGAGGGACGTGGTTGCTTATTTTCAAAGAATGTTTTAAAACCTTTTTTGACAGCATCCCATGAGGCAGAATTTTTTTAAATGCACATTTGAATTTTTCTAATTCAAAAAGGAGGTGTGCTTTGTGCATCAAGTAAAAATAAAAATACAAACAACAACCAAAGTTGGTCCTTTCTACACCAATAAAATTGACAAAACATTAGCAAGCCTGATCAAGAAAATAAACACAACTGGGGGAGGGGTGTCAGGTCTGGAGGGTAGCTTGGTGGCACAGCACTTGCTGGGTTCAGGTATCAGTTACAACAGAGAG